CTCTCTCTCTCTCTCTCTCGGTCTTTCTTTTTTCCGAATGTTTACCTGTCAGTGTGTGTACCTCACCGTCTGCTTGACTGCTTCTTATCCATCTCATTCATCAATCCTTTCTCAATTTCTTCATGATGTCTAAATGTCCTCCTTGTATCACGGGGTTTGGGTTTTTTTGGGGTTTTTATTTTTTGTTTTGTTTTGTTGTTTTGTTTTATTATTTTTGTTTCTGTTTTATTTTGTTTGTTTGTTTGTTTGAATTTGCTACCTACTTATTCTCCTTCTTCAGAAATGCAAGCTAAGAATAACAACAATGTATAGTAACACATACAATCATCATTTCCTATGATGGCAACAAGCCATGAAAAGCAAAATTAATATTCACCAAATCAATGTCACAAACTTACAAACACTTTAGAACTCCCCAGCCCCCTATTGCGCACATGTATGTATATGTCTGTTTGTATATGCAATATACATAGGTGCATCGAATCATAAACGCCCAAAAACGAGCTGAATTTTTTGCCAGAATACCTCAGTATATTATGCACTTTCTCCAGGAGCCAAAAAAGAAGCCCCCCACATTATTTAACACAATTTTCCTCCTCCAAAAAGTCTACGTTTTCAGTCCACGGTCCAAACTAGGAACTTGAGCCATTTAGTTGGGAATGCGGAAATGTAGACAAACGAACAGGCGACGTCTTTGGGATGTCAGCTTTATGGCTGTCTTTTGGCTTGTATAGACATTGGAACAGAGAGATCGCTATTCTTACTGTCTAATGTTACCCTCTATCCGATGTCAAAAATATCTTGTTGTTCTTGTTTTCCCCACTGCATTATATAACGTGCCGCGTGCTGGCTCAACAGACCTGTTTCTATCTGAATCTCAACACAAGCACAATAACACTTTTACGTTTCTTTAATTTCACACAATTTTGCAAAGCATGATTTTTCAAGGTCAATTTTAAGTGGCCATAAATATCTCGGGCGACTCCTGTTGTAGATAAAAAACGTAATTTGTCAGATGATGCTTTGCACTATCTACTCATGCTGCATACCAATTTAAAGCCAGATCTATGCGTAAAATTGGTATGCTGCACGAGTGGGTTGTGGGGATACGTTTCCGAGTTTCTTTTAGATGCCACTGTACATACACACAATACATGTGTGTATGTGTGTGTGTCTGTGTGTGTGTCTGTGTGTGTGTCTGTGTGTGTTTGTGTGTGTGTGTGTGTGTGTGTGTGTGTGTGT